AAGTTGGGAGCATGAAATTGTCCAAAATGTCTTGGTATGCTGAGGCATTAAGAGTTCATTTCACTGGAACTAAGGGGCCAAGCCCAGCTCCTGAGAAACAACCCCATATCATAATCCCCCCTCCACCAAACTTTACACTTGGCACAATGCAGTCAGACAAGTACCGTTCTCCTGGCAACAGCCAAACCCAGACTCATCCATGGGACTGTCAGACAGAGAAGCATGATTTGTCACTCCAGAGAACACGTCTCCACTGCTCTAGAGTCCAGTGGCAGCGTGCTTTACACCGCTGAATCCGACACTTTGCATTGCACTTGGTGATGTAAGGCTTGGATGCAGCTGCTCAACCATGGAACCCCATTCCATGAAGCCCTCTACACATTGTTCTTGAGCTAATCTGAAGGCCACATGAAGTTTGGAGGTCTGTAGCTATTGACTCTGCAGAAAGTTGGTGACCTCTGTGCACTATGCGTCTCAGCATCCACTGACCCCACTCTGTGATTTTACGGGGCCTAACACTTCATGGCTGAGTTGTTGTCGTTCCCAATCGCTTCTACTTTGTTATAATACCACTAACAGTTGACTGTGGAATATTTAGTAGCGAGGAAATTTCACGACTGGACTTATTGCACAGGTGGATACGTATAGTGTATCTCCAAGAATAATTTGTGCAGCATGAAAATATCTTGCCGAAGTCAAAATTAAACACTAAGCATATGTATATTAAATAAAGATAGGGTCCATCTTGCTTGAGATGGAACTTATAGTCTTTCTCTGGCTATTGAGGTTGGCAGATGCAAAGAATGCTCAGAAAACAGATGCTGTGCGAATTGAACAAAGTGGAACGTGGCTCACACTTTCTAATAGAGCTAATCCTCCAGGAGAAGGTTTGAAAAATCCCCAAAAAGGTTGTACAGTACATGTCATGATTTATGAATGTTAGTGGATACAATGAAGGTCCATTACATCCATCTGACTCTTTATCACATGGGTTTAAAATGTATAGAAACTGCTGTGGTTTAAGCCCATGCATGGTGGCTATACTGTAGCTATGGCACAACAATAAAAAGTGTTTAAAATGTCCATAAACACTTTCTTGGAATCTTTTGCTTTTTAGTCATAGGTTCAAAAGTTTTGTTTAACTGGAAACAGGCTCTTTACTAGCTTTTAGTTCAAATATTTGTTAATTGGCCTTTAAATCTATTTTCAGACCATATTATTAGGTTATAAAAAGTTATGAATCACCTCTTAACCCAGCAAGTGTTCATGGATCTATTAAAGCTGAAAATTGTTATATAACATTTTGAGATCATAAAACATGAGAGCCATTTATTAGGTGTGAGAGAAATTAAGGAAACATGGGGTGCTCTTGTCAGCAGGGTCAGCCAACGCAATAATTCAGATTGGGTGAGGTTTATGATTACAGCTTGTTATTACACTTCACAGCTGGGCTTGATTTTTTTTTTCCACTGAGGGATGAGAAGATGTTTCCCCAGAGGCTCAGGGCAGAAGGAGCCATCTCTGTACACCAGCTGCCCCCTGAGGATAGTGGCACACACCACTCCCTGCAGGGTAATGCCAAGGAAAGGCGTTAGCTGCACAAACACATTCAAGAAGTCAAAATTCTGTGCTCACGCCATCACACCATTTGTTCATCAAACATTTCTGAAAGATTTTAATTACCTTGTTTTTATGATGTATGTGTCCTTCAATCTGCAGAGTGTAATAGAAGATGAAGCACAGCTGATTCAGGTTTTAATGATTATTGAAGGTTTGGACTTTATACTCACCTCAAATTCTCTCTACAGGTCCCATATGACCAAGTCAGCATCATAGCCGGGGGCAAGTCTGCCTTTCTGGCTGTCGAGGCTACACAGCTGGGCTGTTTTCTGGCTCAGAAGCCTCGCCACATCAGACAGCTCAAAGCCTCTCTTCCTGGCTGAAGTCCAGAACAGGGGCAGTCCGGCAAATGGTAAAAAATGTTGAGCCTATAGACAACTGAGTTGACACCAATCAAATAAGCATTATAGAGATTTACCACAGTTTTTCACTCCTTCTTAGATTAGATTCAACATTGTCATTACACATGTACAAGTACAAGGCAATGAAATACAGTTTAGCATCTAACCAGTTCTTCCCCATAGGAACACTCACATTAGGCCACATCATTATTCTGAGGTAAAGAGCTTAAACATTGTGGATCACTGTCAGCGGTCTTCCTGGTGTCAGACTCTGACCACTGTCTCACTGTGCCAGATCAGTAAATGATTGTCCTGCCCTCTTAACTATCACATAGCACTTGTTTACCTCCCAGTAAACTTTGCCCTGTCCGGTTTACTGTCAAAAGGTTTGTGGGGTGAAGGAGGGTCATAGGGAACAACTAATCAGAGGCAAAAGAAAATTCCCATATTTTATTCCTGCATATCAGTGTCTCTTGCAGCTGAACAGCAAAGGGGATTTGTCATGTAGAGACAGATCCTGGAGCTGCTCATTAGACAGACGTTAATGTGAAAACTAGCATTACTCTGACAGCAGCCAGGGAGATTTTACAGTGATGCTGGTGTATTTTCTAAAACACTCATTAAAATGAAAAATGTCAAACAAATCCCCTTTAATAAATATAGAATATGAAAGTCACCTGATATAAATATGGTGAATAAATTAGCAAACATTTACCTTTTGACACTCCATCCAGCAGACATGAACCAATATTGGCATTTATTTGAGTTTATGTTTATGACCAGCAGCAAATCCAAACGCAGGATTCACTGGTGTTGTCTATCTCTCTTTAGCTGCTCACCAGTTAGCTCTCTGCTTGACTGTTAACTCTGGGATGTAGTGGATGTGCTTTGGTGATAAAAGCAGATGAGGCGGTTGTGCGACCACAGTGCATCCTGGGAAATTCTTGGCAGCTTGATTTCAAGTGCTCTGGATGATTTTGACATTTGGATGTCCTGGAGATGCTTTCTTGCCTTGGAACGTCACTACAAAGCATTTAGGAAAGTGGTCAGAATATAACCTTTATGGATTTGTGACCATTTGAATTAGATAAAAAGGAAACATCCTTGATTCGTATGAGCACATCCTCATGGAATGTAAAAGTTACTGTCAAAAATCACTGGTCTATAATAGTGCAACACTATGTTATTGCAATACAGTATTGAGTGGAATTGTGCATTAGCAGCCATACTAGGGTTTTGATAGTTGCCCACAGGATAAGAAACATAACTGTCATAGTTACCAAACTGTAGAGATGAAATTCCTCCCCAGGCCTAAGTGGAGTCTCCACTGTCCCGTCTCTTCATATCAGGGGTGCATGGTGAGTGATCAGACACCACCATGTCAATGTGGCCAGCTTTCAGTGCTGACCATAGCTGCTCCTGGTGGTGCACAACCAATCATTTACTAGTAGTCAGCTCAGACTGAAAACACTAAGATTTCTATCAGTTTTACGTCCTATTCTGTTTACCTGATTATTAGAGCTTCTAATAAATCTCTGCACACAGCCTGAGGTAGTGGTGGGTTGTCTCCACTGCCAAGGGGGCTCCAGACTGCCGCACTTTCTGGATCAGCTTTAATGGCTTTGCAGAGGACAAGTGAACTATATGGCACCGCACCCTGGTGGAGAGACAGTTAGCTGACTGTAGTGTCAGTGCTACACTACAAACACAACCAAATTCTACCCAGAACAATCCACTATGGTGCGATAGTGATTTGTTACCATGCTGATGTTCTTACTGGTATTGCAGGCAGAGTTGTGTGACACGGCAGATGGCCTCGAGCTTTATGACATCTGGCGTGGACTGCAGAAAAGTGGAGTACTGAACAAAGGTTTGCAGCATAGTATTTGTTAGTGAAAACAAATGCTCTAAACAATTTACTCCTGATTCACAATTTCTACCTAATATATACAGTACAAACCAGACTTGGACAGTATATCAGTAATATTAATAATGTATTATTATGAACCTTGACTCTGCATACCCTATTGGTATATATAGATACATTTTACTATTTAGAGGACTTAAAGTTGAAGTGATTCAATATTCTGAACTGGTTTGATTATTCTAGCTGGGTACACCTACAGGAAAAAATCTGACAAATGTGTCTTGATTTTCTTAAAAGGTTCACATTCACACTTAGACCCATATAGTCCTGCAGATTTGTTTTTATCACTGCCAACAATGAAAACTGCCAACAGTCTTTATTGGCAATCACCTTCTGTGAAGTGAAACCAGAAACAGTGAAAATGAAATGTCCTCAGAGGTAAGTTAACCTATGTGTTTGTGAGTTTAACAAATTATTCTTTTTTTTTTAAATCAGCATATTTAATTTGCCAACACTCCCGATCCCTAACAAAACGCTTAGTTTAAAAGTAACATACTTATAAGTGATCACAAGAGCACAGTGTGCCACAGACACTGATCTATGGTGTGAAATTACGGTTACCACCAGTCTCTTCTGTTGTCTGCTGAACAACTCTGCATGAAACTGGAGGAGACAAAACAAAAGGTATTTCAGTTACTGTACTGTGATCACAAAGTTTGGTTGCTGCAGCTTGTAAGTTACCAGCAGGACACTTCCTGTGCCTTGCAGATGCTTCATGGCTGTGTGGATCATAGTCGGTCACATGGGGGAACTCTTCCATCCCACTGTGGATGAGGAAACACTTGAAGCCGGCCACTCCGGCCTGGATCATAGGCCAGAGCTCTAGCTGTAAGGAGACATCTGTTGTTTGTGTTTACTTTGGTTTTGATTCAATACAGTCTAGCTGTAAATGTGCTCATTTTCTCTTAAGCTGTTCCAGTGAACAGCACCTGATTGCCAAGAATCACGCCTCCCCAGAAGACTGTGTCCACAAAACACTTTCCCGTCACCTCCTGCTGCTTCTCACGAAAATTACTAAGTGTGGTGGTTGGAGGGATGCTATTTCTGTGGAAAGTTTAACCAAAAAAAGGACAGAAAAAACAAGACTGCTAACTTCTATTCTCATATTTCAAAAAATCTCTTTGCCTTTGCCAAAAGCATCTTTGGTTTCTTAGTTCCTGTCTAAGTCCACCATCTAAGTCACTTCACCTTTAAGCTGCTTTTGTGAAACAGGGCTTATGACTGAAAAAAATACAGTATGCTAATATACTTTTATTATTAAAAACACATGCTGTAGTGTGTCATAATTCACCACACAAACTAAATGGACCTGCTGTTACTTATAGGAGACAGAAATAATCTCTCTTCTGACATTTCAAGGTAGAATACATGACAAAGTTACCCTTACATCCTGTTATGAGCCACTCAACTAACTTATGTTACTGTGCAGGTTTAAAAATACTGGTCAGGTTACACCAAACTCATTTAAATTGTAATTTTGCAATTACAATTATGCAATTATTATTTGAAATAAGACACTTCAAAGTATAGTACTGTGCAAAAGCCTTAGGCCACCATTAGTTTTGCTGTTGTAAAGATTATTTATATTTATTTCTCAGTCTCTTTATTAAGATATAACCAGTAGATATAGGAAACATGTAGACAATGTTAAAACATTTTCAGAACATAATGTCTTCTCCAGTCAGTTTTTACTGTGACCTCCCTTTGCACTTAGCACAGTTTGAATTCTTCTGGGGAAACGTCTTGACACCACCACAGACCCTCCACCATGTTTCACTGAAGGCAGTTGTCTTGGTCTTCCACTGCTGTTTTTGTCTTTGGTGGAGTTGAACAGAAACAGACAACAATAGACAATAGGCAAGAAAAAGTATTAATTTATTCTTTAGCTTAACTGAATTCCTCGATTTTTCCTGATCTGGAACATCCAGTTTCCCTTCACTGCAGCCTTTGTGACTGCTTGCTCTATCCCTGGCTTGGAGAGGGTGTTTCCAGCTACTTTATTTCATCTACTGGTTTTACCAGATGACAATGTGCAGGAGACTCACATACTGTATTTTTTTATTTTGTGAAAAATGAATCTTTGACCTCAGTCATCTCATCCTTTCGCTGTCCCTTGCTCTACCACATGTATCGATTCAGAAAGTATTCAGACCCCCAAATATTTGCACATTTTATTGTTTCACTCATTTCCCCATCATTTCACGCTTAATTGCCAAAAGTGAAACCATGGTCATAGAATTGTCTGAAAATTAATCAAGAGTCAAAAACTGAAATCTCTTCATATTAAACTGAAGGTACTCAGGCTGGACCCAGGTCTGGATCAAAGTCACAAGTGATAAAAACACTTGTGACACTTAAATGGGTGCATATGTCAGAGTCTTTTGCACTCATGCAGTAGGCTATAACATGCAAACCTACAGACATGAACTAAAGATAACTTAACAAAATCAAACCGTAAGCCGCCCCATTGGGTCGCCTGTCTGTCATCACTGTGACCAGTGTGATGCAGCCTCGCTCAGTCTGAGTCCACTCAGTGAGGGCTGGGGGACAGGGCTGGAGGACGGTGCTGGAGGACAGAGCTGGAGGACAGTGCTGGGGGACAGGGCTGGAGGACGGTGCTGGAGGACAGAGCTGGAGGACAGAGCTGGAGGACAGAGCTGGAGGACAGAGCTGGAGGACAGAGCTGGAGGACAGGGCTGGGGGACAGTGCTGGAGGACAGAGCTGGAGGACAGAGCTGGAGGACAGGGCTGGGGGACAGTGCTGGAGGACAGAGCTGGAGGACAGAGCTGGAGGACAGGACAGTGCTGGAGGACAGGGCTGGGGGACAGGGCTGGGGGCTGGGCTTTGAGTCTGTGGGTGCGGACGGAGAATGTGGGCTGGAGGCTGACGGGATGCAGCATCTCCTCGACGGTCCTCTTCCCTCCATCATTCTCCCGCTGATGCGCTGTGCGTTATGACGCTTGGCCGTTTGACGCGTGCGTTACAGTGCGTGGGGCTGGCAGCACGGCAGCCTAGATCCTCGTTATGTAATGTATCGCATGCAGCTGCACTGCCCAGAGTAGCGGGGGGAACTGACGGATGGCTGATTTACTAATGAGCAACGGTTTGTTGGTTTGGGGCTGAGCGTACACACGTCTGCAGGAACAATGCTGGTCGTCTGTCGCTGAAGTACTGTGTAACCGAGGCCGTCTGGGCACCACTGGCCTCTCCCTGAGGTGCACGGACGACTGGAGCCTGCGGAAGCTGCACAGTTTTTCTTTAGCCAGCCAGAGGCGCGTCTCTGTTTAAAACCGTCTCCGCTGTCAGTGGAAATAAACCAATGCTGGTTTGTTGTAGAGAAGAAGCGGCATTATATTCAGTTCTTCATCGCACCGGTTTAATCCAACAGCCTGTGAGCTGTAAAACAAACAATGGCGGGCCCCGAGCAGTCCCAGCAGCAACAGCAGGTAGAGGAGAAGGCAGAGCACATAGATGATGCTGAGATGGCCCTGCGAGGTATTAACATGCTGCTCAACAACGGATTCAAAGAAAGCGACGAGCTTTTCAGGAAATACAGGTAAAACATTTATTTAAACGTCTGTGACAGTATTGGATGCCAACAAAATATTTAAGTGAGTGAAGTCGTGGCTTCACATGTCCTCCAAATAAATGATTGCTTTGGGTCTGTGGTATCTGGGATTCCCTCCAAACTCCCACTGGCCACATCTAACAGCACTGTTAAATGTATGCACCCTGGAGGCTCTACCAGCTGACCAGGACGTATCCACTTGTGTATTATGTATCTTTGTCTGAACCTGTTTTGAACAGCTGCTTTTTAAAGGCATTACTCTCTTGCATGTCAAACAGATACTGTATGCAGCTGAACAAGGTTACTGTTCAGTTGCTTTGTGAAGCTCCCTTCAGTCTCCTGAAGAGCATGGTTGAGATTTTATTGTAATCTTCAACCAAATATTCAGCCTTTTTTGTATCTGTCTTTTTCTGTGGTTTCTTCCTCGTCCCTGTTTCTCTCTGTAGGACCCAGAGCCCACTGATGAGCTTTGGGGCCAGTTTTGTCAGTTTCCTGGTGAGTTTCTTCTCAGCTGCTGTTAAAATGATCAAGTAAGATGCAAGAAGAGATGTCACTTAGTGCTAAGAAAAAGCTAAACAGTGAGTAATGTAATTAATAGCAGCAGTTAGATTGAAGCTCATAATGTTCATAATTTTTTATTTCAGAAGAAATCACATAGTATCAAGACCTGAACTAACCTAATCTGTCAAACTGGATGCATCGGTGTCATCCTCACTGTTGCTTTTCCATCCATTAACATAATCGATGCACCTTCCCCTCGAGAACAGCATTGATCTTGCAGAAAAGCACATTACTATAACGCTGCATCCGTCCCTGATGGGAGAGGGAGATTTTCATAGCATGGTCTCTCTCTGTCTCAAACACCCACCCACACACACACACACACACACACACACACACTTTCACTGACTCCCATGTCAACACTCATGCACCATAAAGCTAGAGATGATGTCATGCTCTGACCCCAGATGCTACACTAAATGACCCCGAGGCAGTGAGGGTAGTCACATCTGACCATCATAGCAGCCATGCCTATGTGCACACTAAGAGTTAAATGTTAATATTAGGCTACTGTAGGTAATGGGAAACCACAAAACCATTCTCACTAAATTATCCCTATTTTTTCATGTATGTATTATTTCTGCCTTAAGGTACATGTGATTATTTCCTGCCTGACTCAAAAGGTTTGAGCAACATCAGAGCAAACATTCTCTGTTTCAGTCACCTGAGTAGCATCGTTCCAACCCCAAACAGCTGTGCAGGTGTCACTGTGCTCCTCGGTTCATTGTAACTTGGTATTTTTTAGTATTACATCACACTCTTTTAGCCTTATTATAGGATTGTAAGCCACCACAAATATATTTCAAAGCATGTCTTGATAATCAAATTTACAATATTAGAATAATTCAATTGAATGTTTTTGATCCACCACATATATCAATGAACAGAACACTTTATTGGCTTTCTGCGTTTCATTACAGAATGCCATGATGACATTTGAGGAGGAAAAGATGCAGACAGCCTGTGATGACCTGAGGACCACTGAGAAACTGTGTGAGAGTGAAAGCGCTGGAGTGATAGAGACAATCAGAAACAAGATCAAGAAGAGTGTGAGTATAAAACCAAAGAAGTTAAAAGGTGTATTATACAAACGGTTAGAAGGCAGCAAGAAACTCAAACTAAACTATGATAATACTGAAATTAATTGGTATTGATGGCACTGAGCTGCTCATTTAGAATTTCCTCTTAGTTTGTGGCTGATGCCTCCTAATATGACAGGCAGATAATGATTGTGTCCTCGGCCTCAGGCCTAACGATGCAGTCAGCAGTGAGATCATGCCAAACTAACTCAGATTCAATTAGCACTCCTTTGAAACACAATCAAACTAGAGTGAGTAGTGCGGGAGCCATCTAGCAGCTCTGGGTTATGCAGGAAATTGTTCCTGCCAGCCTCTGGTGAAGGTACAGGGTGTATATGTGTGTGTGCAGTACACTGCTTAATGTGTATGTCTGTTGTAGATGGACTCCCAGAGGTCAGGCCTTGTTGTTGTGGATCGCCTGCAGAGACAAATTATTGTTGCTGACTGTCAGGTGTACCTCGCTGTGCTCTCCTTCGTCAAACAGGAACTATCAGGTAATCACATTTAAACCCCAATCCATACGATAGAAATTGTTTCGCTTGGCAACACAGTACATCCTTGTGTTGTGTGACTGCATGTAGACATTGATGGAAACACAGACCGTCAGATATCAGGATTTGTAAGAGATGCAACTCAGACAGGTTAGTAAATACATAAGAGGATTTAGGCAAACACATGGATGCACAGCTCAGTATAATGGTGAAGGCAGCGAAGAGACAGGAAGAAGACAACTGGCTGAGAAGATGGGCCAACTAGGAAAATGTCCAGAGAATAATAAGGATAACCTGGCAGGAAGACTGTAGAGTTAGGTCTGTGCATTGACAGGTCTCCACCTGAAGTTCCCAGGTAGTCTCCCATCCAGGTACTGACCAAGCCTGGCTCTGCTTAACGTCAGAGGTCAGAAAAGAACAGGTGCACCCAGAGCAATGTGGCTGTAGGCTGGGGACTGCATGGAGGCAGAGCTATACAGGTGAGAATCACAGGTTGTACACCAGCCACAGGCTTTCACAAGAGGTAGGAAAAACACCGCCAAAAGACTGCAACACTGGGCAGCTGTCAGGTAAAAAAAACTCAAATCCATCGTGTCTGGAGTAAACAAATGCACAAGTATGCATAAGCATCCAAAAATGAGAACAAAAGAAAAGTCCTCCAAAGCTAGCTAAACCAAGAAAGAAATACACTGAACTCAGTCAGAAAATAAGAACACAGAACATAGACAGATGGCGTAGAAAATCCACAGTCCAAATAATCAGCATTCCTAAATCAGGTAGGCACAGGTGATGTGCGATATGAGGACAGCTAGACAGGAGGAGAATCAAAAACAGGCAGGGTATAGATCCAATAACCAGAGTCTAGTAAACAGAACAGAAGATGGCTGGAACGCAGTGCAGAGCGGCCAGTGACAAGCGATCTGCTGTCTGAGGAGCAGCAGGGGACAGGTTATATAGGAAAAGCCACAAGCCCCAGGTGAGTTCAGTCAGCCAGGTGTCTGCTCAATCACTGATGGCTGAGGTGAAGCTGGAGCTGGTGAGGTAGTGGAAATCAGGAAGACTCCTACAAAATAAGAGCCTCTAGCAGGAAGTCAGGTAAAACATGACAACTCAAGAAAACATGATAGATAGGTCATACCTAGAGATTATCCAGTGTAGAGCACATTTCTTTTTAATTACAAGCACCTCTATATTTAGGATAATCATAAGAAATTACCAGATTTCTTGAAACTAGGATAATTACAGTATATCATGAGTTTGTATTATTACCTCATTAATTAACCAGGTTAGTGCTAAAGCAATTAGTTGATGAATCACAAGTTTTCATAATCCTGTCTTGTTTAGCTTCTGCCAGCTCCTGAGAAAAATATCTGGCTCGTTACCTGCTAAATGCTACACTGTGTTCACCAGCTAGTCGCAGCTGTCAACTGCATGACCTAGTCTTGTTTTTGTCTTTTATCATTGTAAATGAAATGTCTTTGGGTCTGGCTGCTGGTTGGCTGTAAAAAGGAATTTGGAAATGACACTTAGACTCAAGCAGGTATTTTTGCTGCTTTTTACACTTAATTGGTTAGAAAGATAATCAAAGACTAAGAATCTAAAACCATGCTAACAGCACAGTGAGACTGTGCCTAGGTAAACTGGTGCTTTGAGCCGAATGCTAACGTTAGCATGTCAACATATTTACAATGGCAATGTTGGGAAATATTGCCATTGTTATATTTATCATGTACACCATTTTAGTTTAGGGTGTTAGCATGCTAACATATGCTAATTAAGTATAAACTACAGCTGATGCTTATGGAAATGTCATTAGTTTCATGTGTATTTGAACTTAAACCCATGTAGTAAAGGGAGGAATTTAAGATGAAAAGTTAAATTAAATTATTCCAGTTTGTCCTAAAGATAATAGCCGTTAAGATCTTTCAGACTGGACCAGGCTGTTGAAGTGACCAGCAGAGTTTTTAATTTTAAGTGTTATGAGAGTGGCTAAAAAATATTTAGTAGATTAATTAGCCTGATCATGAATATGTTCTTTAGCTGTAGCTAGGTAAAGAATTTTATGTTTCAGATTCATCTTAAAATTGATTCAATTATTATTATTTTTTTCAAAAATCCACATATAACACTCCACAATGTTGAAGTGAAAACTGTTTGTTTGGAGTGTTTTGCACATGTATTAAAAACAAAAGATAGCGTGGTCTTCCACTTGAGCATCTCCATACATAATCAAACGCGTCTTGTTTCTACTAACAGCATATATCAAAGGAGGCTGGATTCTTCGTAAGGCATGGAAGATGTACAATAAGTGCCACAGTGACATCAGCCAGCTGCAGGAGGCCTGTCAGCGGAGGTCCTCTATCAACCAGGCGTCCCTCTCGGTGGACAACGCAAACCACAACACACCAGTGGAGAATGCTGTGACGGCTGATGCCCTGGACCGGCTCAAGGGCTCCGTCAGCTTTGGCTATGGCCTCTTCCATCTGTGCATTTCCATGGTACCACCACACCTGCTCAAGATTATCAACCTGCTGGGCTTCCCTGGCGACCGACTTCAGGGCCTGTCCTCCCTAATGTATGCAAGCGAGAGCAAAGACATGAAGGCACCACTAGCTACGTGAGTGTGCTGGAGTTGTATCACTTTTGAGGGAGGTAAAAATATGTTTGTTGTATAGGTTTAAATTACCTGTAGCTGCACTAATCAATATAGTGCTGTCAACAGTGGACCTACTGAATGTGTGTACTGTGAAAGGTGTCCTACATAGTGACCTAAACATAGACAGTTATCACCTGACTATGTAGTGAAGCTAAAATCAGTGGAGCGTTTAACATCTTTCAGCTCATTGTTTTGGTTTCAGGGCCCACAGCGTCACTATACTGGTTCCCCCATTGTAACTATCTACCCAGCACAAAACGACAGACGGAGTCAGCGACTAGCTGGTGAACACAGTGTAGCATTTAGCAGGTAACGAGCCAGATATTTTTCTCAGGAGCTGGCAGAAGCTAAAACAGAGCAAAACAGACATTGCATATAATGTTGGCCATAAATTCACAGTATAAGGTGGCACGTCATTGTTATGCTTACACCGTGTTGATGGCCAGATGGCCAAAACTCAAATTAATGCAGCTTAAATTTAGATTTACTTTATGGCCATTGTAAGTTTAATGATTTTAAGTGGTTCTTGTCTTGTGGTCCTTCAAAATAAAGCTTCACTCATTGCAATTGTAAAAAAAAAATGAATATTTCTAATTCTAGACATGATAAATATGTACAGGTAGAGTAAACAAAAATGAACACCCAAACATGAACCTGGCCCCAATAATTACAGCCTTGTAGTCTATATTATAATGACACGAATATATAAATACATACACAATAGTGTACAAAAGTCTTGGGCCACCATCAGATTTGCTGTTTTAGCAATGTTATGATGACTATACATTTACTTCTCATTTTCTTTTTCAGAATACAACTAGAAAATATAGGAAATATGTCCACAGTATTAAAAAACAGAAAAATATTTGAAAAATCAGCAAACAAACTGGATTATTCAAGCAGGTCGAAAGAGATATGATATATGTTGTTGTGTCTTGTTGCTTTTCTTTTCTTTTGTCTCTCCTCTATCCACTCACCCCAACCGGTCAAGGCAGAAGGCCGCCCACCAAGAGCCGGGGTCTGTCAGAGGGTTCTTCCATTAAAGGGAGTTTTTCCTCCCCACTATCACCAAGCGCTGCTCAGGGGGGATTTGTTGGGTTTTTCTCCATAATAATAATAATAATAAGGTCTAGACCTTGCTATGTAAAGTGTCCTGAGATGACTTTTGTTGTGATTTGGTGCTATACAAATAAAACTGAATTGAATTGAACTGAAAAACAGGAGTGGAAGACCAAGACAACTGTCCAAATCCGATGAGAAGTTTCTCAGAGTTTCTTCCTTGAGAGATCGGAGGAAATCCACCAAGAACCTGGCTCAACATCTGGCAGCTTCATCTGGATGCCAGGTCGATCCTTCCACAGTCCAAAGAAGCCTGATCAGGAACGGCCTCTGTGGAAGGAAGGCAGCCAAGAAACCACTTGTTCAGAAGGGGGACGGGGAGAAAAGGCTGAGACATGCAACAGCTCATGATGACCAAAGTGAAGATCAGTGGAAAAGAGGATTATGGAGAGATGAGTAGACGTTTTGGGGTCCAGTAATCGCCAATATGTCAGAATTAGAGTTGGAGAGAGGTGGAAGAATGAGCAGCCTTCAGTGAAACATGGTGGAGGGTCTGTGGTGGTGTCAAGATGTTTCCCCAGAAGAATTCAAACTGTGCTAAGTGCAAAGGCAGGTCACACTAAAAACTGACTGGAGAAATTATGTTCTAAAAATGTTTTAACATTGTCTACATGTTTCCTATATCCACTGGTTATATCTTGATAAAGAGACTAAGAAAAAAATATAAATAATCTTTACAACAGCAAAACTAATGGTGGCCTAAGACTTTTGTACAGTATTTTATATACAGTATGAGAATTGACTCTTAAACTTAATTGTTAAGCCAACATGGATGAGAAGTCCACAAAATGCTCCTAAAAAATGGAAATTTGAAGACAGTGTGGTATGATTAAAAGCTCCAGCGTCCCTCAAGTGTTGTTTCTAATGTCAGTTATGAAATTTACAGTTCAGCTTTAGCAACAAAGGGTTTTGGTCTGATCTACCAAACTGTAAACTAAACGTCTAATGGCAGGATAATGGTCACACAGCTATTATTAGTATATACTAGTTGCCTTGTTACATATTCACCTCTCTAATTTTAATCAGACTGAGATGTAAATTAAAAAAAAGAAACTTGTCCAGCTCTGTCTAAGATGAACTTCTTGCTGTGTCGCTCAGGTTGGCCCTTTTGTGGTACCACACAGTAGTGCTGCCTTTCTTCGCTCTGGATGGCTCTGATACACATGTAGGTCTGATGGAGGCCAAAGCTATTCTGCAGAGAAAGTCGGTGGTTTACCCCAACTCGTCGCTCTTCATGTTCTTTAAAGGACGTGTTCAGAGGCTAGAGGTATGCACAGCTGGCTCAGGGCTGGTAGCAATCTGTGACAGCTATACAGAACTTTAACAAGTCTGTAGTTGTTTACAGATTGAAAGCTGTAGTCATTTATTTGTGCTTTTAACACTGGATAAAAGTGTTTATTTCAAACACACACACAAAGAATATTCCATCGGTCAGTTCACCACCTATAATTAATATGCATGCCAGATTGTTCATCCATTCACCAACATCCGATCCACCATCTAATTCTAATCTAACTCTCATTTAACACATGCATGTACTGTGTGTCTGACACAGTTATTATTGCCTGTTGGTGTGTACGCTCTTTCCTCTGTCCTCAGTGCCATATCAACAGTGCTTTGGCCTGTTTCCATGATGCACTAGAGCTTGCATCAGACCAAAGAGAGATCCAGCATGTCTGTCTCTATGAGATTGGTACGTGTCTTCCTGCCAGGTTAGTTGTGACATACTGGCACTGGGCATGCACTGCTTTGAGGGATTCATTATATTCTGTCTGCTTGTCTTTGTCAGGTTGGTGCAGTATGATAGAGATGAACTTTGAAGATGCATTCAGGTCATTTGAAAGGCTGAAGAATGAATCTCGGTGGTCACAGTGCTACTATGCCTACTTGACTGGAGGTGAGCCTGCCACACACTAACGGATGCTTGCACTGGCGGGATGTTTCCACTCTGTGTTAGATATATACTGTACAGTTCCTGTTGTTGTGTTTTCCAGTGTGTCAGGGTGCTTCAGGTGACCTGGATGGAGCAAGTGGAGTTTTCAAGGATGTGCAGAAGCTGTTCAAAAGAAAAAACAACCAGATAGAGCAATTTGCTGTCAAAAGGGTGGGGTTTGCTGCAGATGTTGCCCTTGTTCTCTTTATGCAAATTATCATGAGCGTGTACAGCAGTTTTCCTTTTCTGTCTGGTTCCTATCTGCAGGCTGAGAGACTGAGAAAGATCTCGCCCAGCAGAGAGCTGTGCATCCTCGGCGTAATTGAAGTGCTGTATCTGTGGAAAGCGCTTCCAAACTGCTCCTCAACTAAACTACAGATAATGAATCAGGGTGAGTGCAACCGACATGATTCATACCATCATAACCACCTTAGCTGCACCTAGATTTCTAAGAATTTCATTTCACCCTACAGTATGTGATAATTTCCCCTTGTGTCTGCTCAGTGTTACAGAGTTTAGATGACACTTTGTGCAGAGGCCTGAAACATCTCCTTCTTGGTGCCATTCACAAATGTCATGGAAATATGAGAGATGCTCTTCAGGTATCGCTGCACAATGAGCGCTGAACGACTTTACAGATAATCTACATATACATGATACTCAGCTTGCTCTTTGTATTCATTTTGTGGTGCAGTCGTTCCAGCTGGCTGCTGGAGATGAGTACGGACGACAGATCAACTCATATGTCCAGCCGTATGCTGTCTATGAGCTGGGATGTATCCTGCTTGCAAAACAAGAGGTCAGTCAGTATTCAAAGTTTAAGATTTCCTTATGGAGCAAAGAGGAATTTGAGACCAAAAAAACTAATGTGACCACTTGTTCACCTGGTGTTTTTTTGTATTGCAATTCAGACACTGGGAAAAGGAAGATCATTGCTACTTCAAGCAAAGGTAAAAGAACATGTTTAATTTTTCTATAGATTGTTAGAAATACAGTATGTTACATGTTTCAGATATCAACCTGTCATGTTTTTAGGAGGATTTTACAGGCTACGACTTTGAGAACAGGCTTCACGTCCGCATCCATTCAGCCCTGGCCTCGCTGAAGGAAGTGGTGCCTCAGTGACTCCAGGAAAAAACTACAGTGGCTCAAGCCGTGCTCATGGCCCTTTACACCAGGTTTTCAGACATTTGAATTAACTGTCTGACATCCTAGTGAACAGGCTCCTTTGTTTTCATCCTTAGATTTAGAGAGACAGAACTTGTTTGTCATCTTACCCACACTCAGGCTGATACAGTGTGAGGCCTCATCTCTGAGCAGTCAGTACAGAGATAGGTATGATAGTCTTCATACTAGCTTAGCACAAAGCCTGGAAGCAGATGGAAATAGGCTAACCTACTGTAGTGTAGCTTTGGCTAGCAAGTTACAAATGAAGCTATCAATGTGACATCTGTTGTTGGTCAGCAAGCTAGCCCTTAATACATCCATATACTTTTTACTGTGCAATCCTATAGCTACAACTAGGTGATTTTTTAAAATCTATTTATTGTAATGCTTTATTTTACAGCTCTGCTATTTCCTAATAATTTCTTGAACGTTTCCTCCAAAGAACCATGTAGTTTGGTATTAATTATAGAAAAATAGTCCGCTGAGTTGTGTTGACGTGATTACTGGCTTCCAGATGAATTTCCATGAAAGAAATTGCTCATTGTAAACTCCAGTTAATGTTTGCTTTTTATTTATTAATTATTTGAAATGGTTTTCTTATTTTTTGCTGAATTGGATAGTTGTTTGTAGACAAATTTAACACTTTGCATGTGTAGCTGACCTTCTGTCCTTTTAATAAAAGCCTCCAGTTTGTGCTAGCTTAACATTTAGAAATAAGTGGAAGTGTTCCAACTGATCACTGTCTAATTATACCTATAATTAGAACCAAATTATATGGTTCCTTCCAGGAAACCTCTTAGGAAATTATTTAGAAATAAACTGGAATTTATAGACCTGTAAAATACAGTGTTATTTGTTTTTTCAGCTTCCTGTCTATGTGCTAAGCCTGGCTAAATACATCCACCTATTTCTGAAATGGATGCGCAGAGATGACATTGATATCAATGCTTCACACTGGACAAGACAAGAAAGAAGAATATTTCCTCAAATCTCTTAACAGTTGCTTTAAGTGTCTTTTGCGTCCAAATGTATTAGCTGGCTAGTAACAGTTTTCCACATTAACATGTGTATTTCAGGTTCCATGAGCAATTCAGCACATACAAGTAACCTTTTAATGAGATCATATGTCTTTTAACAGTACCTTTACAAAGACTAATAAAAGATAGAGGTAATAGTATTTTCCACATTCTTTACAAACATGCAGATGCCATTTGAAGAGCTTAGACAAAGAAATAGAATAAACACCAGTTCTTTGCTATATCACATATCATGAAACCGATAATGGGAGGATTAGTCAAACTTAACGATTTTATATGTTCATATTAAGGACCTCATGGATTGTTCCATTTTCAGCAGTTATTTATTTAATAAGCAACAGCTCTCTTACAATAAAAATATTAAACTTTGTTTGCCAAATCACAAAAGGGGTCATTTCACACAGGGATCATTTATATTCACAGTGGAAATTAAACAACAAATGTGTAGTGTAATTAGTTACTACATGAACAGTTAAATAATGTCAAATATTCTCAGTGATGACCTTAAAATTACACATAGTAACGAGTAGTCACGCTCAAGTAGACGGACATCATACATTTATAGAAACAGAGAAATCACGTCACAATGTGAAAACACCAGGCATTGATCCTGTGCACTATGCATGGTATGGCAGGGTGACAGTGGCTTTGAGACTGTACTGAAGCCAAATGTACCTGTATGTCCATGCCTACAAATACATCAAGGTATTGTAATACAGTATGTCCAGTACGGTAATGTTACCACTGGAAGGTGCTGCAATATGTCAGCTTAGTAAACATATAATACTGGTGAATTATTTCAGTAGTGTTTCAGTGATACAAGCTTTTGAATTAGTCCATTATAGTGACAGGTTTATTAATTGCATAACAGAAATTGTATGTTTTAAATGTCATTTACACTGTTTTAGTTTGAGTCTTGAACCTACAAATCCTGTGGTGACCAGCCAGACTGCAGTGTTAGTGATTAAGCTGATTCAATAGTGTGATGTTAAACTGGACAGCTGCTGTAATAAGTGAGTGTGACAATCTTTTCCAACACAGTTACACACTGTAAATATGTATTATTTTGTGTAGGGTATTGCCTTCTGAGTTATGGTCATCTGAGCAATATAAGCAAGAGGAGAACATCTTAATTTACAGAGGCTTTCAACACTGACTATTTGTGTTTTTCATCCCATGGTAAAGATGTAGATGGATCGATTTACTTTGCTCACACTAAGCTGGTCAGACAAAGCCGGTCATCGCCTGCAGCTGTGATGGATGAAAATTGTGGCTAATGCTGAGGTGACCACTGTGCAAGTGGTCGGTGAAGTGCACGTCATGTAATGGTGAAGTGTCAGTAAGATGTTGCCTGCCTGCTGTACCAAATACTAATGTCACTGGAAGATTTTTGTTGCTTTTGTCATGAGATTTTGTTGAAGTTGAGGTTACATGTCAGAATGTCAGTGTCCCAGTGTGTCACTGAACAATAAACAGTTCTCCATTAATCTGGGTGCACATACAGTATTTTCTGCCTCTGAGTTCTTTCCTAATGAAACTGCCCTTTGGACAGTGGATGTTAATGTTAAATGTGCAATGATGGTAGTGTGTTACTTCTGCTTTGCCACACCTGCATTAAATCAGCTGACAGAAAAAAAACTGTTCTGATGCTCAGAAAAAAGAGAAAACGCTCATATGTCGAGCTTCTTTGCTGACAAGCAGTTGTCTGATGTGACACCACTGACACATTGAGCCAACATGACCAACTCCACCAAGTTCTGCTGACATGAAGACAAATGTTTGTCTTCATTATGTAGGTCTGAGCTTAAGAGTCAGAGCTTCAATAGACAGTTTCAATTATAGATTAATGTCTTATTGCAGCCGTGTCTAGTCATTACACTTTTACCCATCTACAGAAATCATTTATTTTTATTCCACCAGGGGGAGTTTATCTCACACGATGTGACAGACTGGATTGTCCCGCATCATGATTGCTATGACAGCAGGACACAAAAAACAGAGCTAGATGAGAATACCCAGTGGTGGATTGTAGCCCAATTAAAGTACAGTTTTAATCAAAATGATTATCATGATGATGATTATTATAGATTAAGCTGCCCAGCAGTATATGAAGTAGACCCACTTTTATCAGCTGCAACACTAAAGTGATGCTTACATATTAATGCATCAGTAATTGCAACATATTTTGAAATGTCTCATTCTGCATGATGGGTACTTTTACTTTTGATGGCATGTATTCTGATGCTTATGTACTTTTAAGTAATGTATCTACTGTATGTTCAATATTTTTCAGAAAAAGTATCTAAAATATTCAGACAAATCAAGAGATGATGAAACATGATTCTAGGTTATTACTGGCTAAATTATCATCCACAGGTTATAACTGCACTTTTACATTTGTTATTTGTAACTCTGCAGTTGGGGCGGCACAGCGGCGCGGTGGTTAGCGCAGTTCTAGCCTGGACCAAGCTGGGGCCTTTCTCTGCAGTGTTTGCAAGTTCTGCCTGTGCCTGTGTGGGTTCTCTCCGGGTACTCCAGCTTCCTCCCACAGTCCCAAGACATGCAGCGACTCTAAATTACCTGTAGGAGTGAGTGTGGGTGTGTGTGGTTGTTTGTCTACATGTCAGCCCTTGTGATAGACTGGCGACCTGTCCAGGGTGA